TTGTTGTTTTTTTTAGTACCAAGGAGGCAAATCTACCCTTATAACCTTTTCCCCCCCAAATGCTTATCATTTATTCTACACACTTCCTCTTCCAAATGAACTTTGGATTCATTTTGTCGTTTCCAAAAACCACTTAATTTTACAGAAATTGCATTGAATTTATAGGTTTATTTTAGGAGAACTGACGTCTTTACAAAACTGGAGTTGGCCATCTGGAAACATAGTGTCTCGTCATGGATGGAAGTTTTCCTACCTGTCCAGCAGTAAACATTTAGTTTTCATCACACATTTCTCGTTAACTTCATGCTTAGGTACTTTCAGCTTTTGTTGTCAATAGAAAGATTTTTCTTTCACTACATTTTCTAACTGATGGTTATTGTTATATAGAAAAGCTTTCCAACTGTTGACTTTGCTGTACTCTTATCCTAATAGTTTTTCTGTTGATTCAGTGTAAGCGTTCTGAAAACACTAAAGTGGCTAGAAATCCCATAGTGTCCCCATGTCCTCCAGGATAAAATGTAACCCCTTTTTAATGGCACACTACCCTTCCAGCATTCTCCAACATGACTCTACTGTCCCAGACAATACACTTTCTTAAGGTACCTTGGACAGGCCACGTGTTTCCACACCTTTATACCTTTGCATACACTCTTCTCTCTGCCTGGAATTCCCTCTCCCATCACCTTTTTCCACTTCACCTTTCCTTGCCTTTTTCTCCAAACTTAGCCCAGGGTCACTTGTCTTAGGGAAGCCTTCCCTGACCTACTATTCCAGACTGGGAAAGGCACCCCCGTCTGTCCTCCCAGCATCTTTCTGCTTATTTTACTGTAGCTCTCTCTCTCCACTAAATTTTTTCTGAAAGTAACATATGCACATTTTGAAATGAAACAAGTGCCACAATTCCGATCAGCAACTTGTTTTAATATTTGAATAAAATCCCCCTCTCCCTTTTTTTCTTTAAGGTTTGGAAGTGCAGCTTCCAGTTTCAGGTTTGTGAGCATGGCGGGAGGGTTCCTGGATGTGTCTCCCACCTCTGTGTAGAAGGACCTGCCTAAGAATAGTGAACCTCGAAGCCGGCAGACTCGGGGACAGGAGATCCGGCCTAGCTCCAGTTCTGGCACCCAGGAACTCACACCCAGCTTGGGACACGGCCGTAAGCCACACGCAGCGGACCTGCCCCACAGGGTCCCGGGAGCCTGCCGCACCTGATAAAAGAGGCCGTTTCAAAATGGCCACCCAGTATCGGCTCCAGGTCTGAGTCGCTTCTCTTTTGTTTCTTCTAACCTCCGATCTCTGAGTTTTAAGCACCACCAGTAATTTTGTCAGAAAGCCAGGTGGCTCACTCACCCCCATGGCTCCCTCGGGGAAGATCGCCCGCCCGGCCTTTGTTGCATAAACTGCAGTGCCCAGGAGCCATATTTGTTCTCTGCAAAAGGCGGCCGGGCTGATCCGAGATGGCAGTGGGCCCCACTTCTCCTCGCTCTTTCCCAGCCCACCCTGACTCATTCGGCCTCCTAGGGCCCATGTTTCTTTCCACTTTACCAGTCTGCAACGTCGGGGTGTGGTAACTGCTGCTCCTCCGCTCGGATTAACAGGCCCTAGGCCGACAGCACTGGAGTGCCGTTAGGGACCTCAGAACCGCCCTGACGCCCCTGGGGCCCGGGACGGTTTCCTGCTGGTTGAAAGGCCCAGGACGCCACTGCGGTCCGGGATCGAGCTGGGTCTCCCATTCCCCCCCCCCCCCCAACCGCTTCGTGCAGAGCAGCGCCATCACCTCCCCAGGGCTCCGCCACACACCCCCCTCCCAGGGCTGTGAGCCTCCCCTCCTCTCCCCCTACTCTCCCCCGCGCCCCCGCTCCCCCGCAGCGGGGCGGAGCCCCGCACCCCCAGGAAGGGGTGGGGCTCAGCTCAGCTTGGCGAGCGGGAGGTGTGATTGGTCAGGGCAGGTCTGACGCCCACTCCTGCTATAAAAGCCGGGTGGCTGGATCCTGCGCCACAGTCTTCGCTGAGAGTCGCCGTGGTTTCCTGCTTCAACAGTGCTTGAACGGAACCCGGCGCTCAATCCCCATCCCAGCCAGCTTCCCAGATCCATCCTTCTGCCACCTTCTTACAGCGCCCTCGGACCGCCCAAAGGTCCCCGCCACCGATCCAGCTCCGCGAAGCCGCCTGTCCTCAGCCGCCCATCATGACCACGTCCACCTCGCAGGTGCGCCAGAACTACCACCAGGACTCGGAGGCCGCCATCAACCGCCAGATCAACCTGGAGCTCTACGCTTCCTACGTCTACCTGTCCATGGTGAGGCCTGACGCCGTCTCCCCGGGTAGCGGGGCGTGGGACAGGTGCCACCTCTCGGGGGTGGGGTGAAGGTGTGGCTACCGGTCGGGGGTATTCTGCCCTCCTTGTCCCTCTGTGTGCGCCCTTTGGGAAAATGAAGACTGTTCGAAGTCTCTCAAGACTTGCGCAGAAATTCTGGGCACTTTGCCCTTTCCGGCTGCCTCCTGGGAAGGCTTCCTCATAGGAAAGGGCCGCCTCTGTGCACCATTTTGTATTTAAGGAGAGCCCGTTTTCCGGAAATCCCGGGATTGCAACACTTAGAAACTGTAAAATTCTGCAGTTAGAAAGGAGGATTTTTCCAGTTGCACCCCTTCTTCTGAGTCGGGTCACGTGCCCCTAAGGCCCTCTGTTTGCTTGGTGAAGAGGTCCAGCTCCCATCCCCCTGGGCATGGCGGAGCCTGCTGGGTAATGGTGTCGAATAGCAACCTTGGGGGCTGGTACAAAGTGCCTTATCTCCCGTGGGCCGACCACTCCCAAGCAGCTGTCTCCACCCCTCTGCTCTGCTTATCTCTAAGCCTCACTGGAATTGAAGCATATCTTTAGACATCTCCCCTTCTGTGGACGCAAAGTTGTCTTAGTTATCTGTCCTAGTGCCAGGGTACTTACTTCTTTATCCTTTTTGTGTCTGAGAATTGTAGCCCACTCATTGAACTCTGAGTTCTTGGATAAAATCCGCCAACAGTTAACTGGGCAAGGCATTTTTCCCTATGATTGGTGGGATGTTTTCCAAAATCCTAAGAGTTATCTTATGGTTCTGCAAATTATCCTAGACATGTTCTAGATGGATTTGAAAACAGGTCTGGATTTCTATGACTGCCATTCTATTTCACTATCTCCTGAATACTGCAAGTGTCTAAACCTGGAATCAAATTTTTGCTTTCTACTGGTAGTATTTACGTTAGCCTCGCTCACAGTTGTCACCTTGCCTAGTGGGTTAATTTTAGAAATCCTCAGTCTGCCTATAAGCTGGCAAGCTCATGTTTGACATGGGTTTATCAAGGAGGAGGGAGAGAAGGCACTAATAGTGCGGGGTAAATACTCCAGCACCCTGGCCAGTGAAATTTGACACTGGCTCTCAAAACTTTGCAGTGTACAGGCCCTGAAGACATTTCATACTAGAGGCAATCCCTATGATATTCTAAAGGTTCCTTGTAGTAAACTCTAAATTTCAAGTATCAGGTTTCATCTTTGTATTAGAGACTAGAAACCAGTCCAGGAACACAGCCCGCCCCTAACATGTTCATGTTCCACTTCTAGTCTTACTACTTTGACCGTGATGATGTGGCTTTGAAGAACTTTGCCAAGTACTTTCTTCATCAATCTCATGAGGAGAGGGAACATGCTGAGAAACTTATGAAGCTGCAGAACCAACGAGGTGGCCGAATCTTTCTTCAGGATATCAAGGTGAACAAAAGATCCTAGAGTTGTTATGCTACAGGATTAATTTAGCAGTCCTCAGGTGCCAGATACCACTCAGTGACTAGCAGTTTCCCTTTTTAAATGATGAGACTTCTGCTTTTATGCTTATTGTGCCCATCCTCTTAAACTAAAATAGGCAAATGGTAATGGGCAAGGATGTTACATTGGAAACTTATTAAGGGGAACTTAGACATTCCTTTTGTCGAAAGGTTATGTATTAGGTTTAATTGGTAGAAACTATAGATGCATTGACCTAACTTCTCTTCCTTCAGAAACCGGAACGTGATGACTGGGAGAATGGTCTGAATGCAATGGAGTGTGCATTGCACTTGGAAAAAAGTGTGAATCAGTCACTGCTGGACTTGCACAAACTGGCTACTGAAAAAAATGACCCTCATGTGAGTATTGGCAACCGGGGAGTAAAGGGAGGAACTCATTTTCTTTAGTTGGCTGGGAAAGTTGACCAATAATTTTCTGCCCATTCCATTTTTTTCTAGTTGTGTGACTTCATTGAGACTCACTACCTGGATGAGCAGGTGAAATCCATCAAAGAACTGGGTGACCATGTAACCAACTTGCGCAGGTTGGGAGCCCCTGCATCTGGCATGGCAGAGTATCTCTTTGACAAGCACACTCTGGGAGACAGTAAAGATAGCTAAGCCTTAGGCTGCCTCCCCACAGCCACGGGAGTGACTTCCCTGGTCACCAAAGCAGTATGTGCATGTTCGAGTTACCTTTACCTTTTCTATAACTTGTACCAATCATCCACTTATGTCCTTCATTTGTACCATTCCTTCAAATAAAGTAATTTGGTACCCAGCTGTTGTCTTCGAATTCTTGGGATGGGCTGGCATGCTAATCAAAATGAAATGCCTAAGAGAATTTATATTTATGAAAATTCTTAGTTTATTAATCTTTAGTTACACGAAACTGCTAAGTTTGGAAAAGATACCAAGGCTTTGGTGTGTTGAATTCAGGCAGGACTTAAGGACACCTGATTCTCAATTACATGTTTCCGGTAGTTATTCTAGCTTTCATTACTTGTATATACAAAAGGCACTTAAAGGTTTAAGTAGTCCTGAAACTAATGATTGTTATTACCCATTGAGCTAGCCACTAATTCAGGCTGTCACAGGAACATACGTCTCAGTGTGGACAGCTATGTGGCTATGACTGGATCGAGTGTCCCGCTGGTGTACACGCAGGAAGGACCAGGCTGGTGAAGCATTCCCCCTTGAGAAACGGGCTAGGAATGTGCTTCATCCCTGTTGAAAATTGGAGAAAATTTACATGAGTATAGAGGACAACTTCATTTTAATACCGAATTAGCTTCAGTAGGAGAGCAAAGCCTGAGATGCTAAACACTAAGAACCAATGACTATTGTCCGGAGATCACAGAGCCATTAATATCCTCCCAAACAAGCTATAGTGATTTGTGTCTAGCTCTAGAAGCAAGCAGATGGTAACCCTTCCAGGTTGTCAGTCCAAGCTGTTTGTTCTGACCATAGAAGCAACTGCTTGAGAATCTAGAAATAGGAAGTGAAATGTCCCTTCCTCAGGGTGGGATGGGGGTGCAGTGCAGTACATGTATAATTGGCTGAATAGAAATAACCTGGTGGTTTTGTGACAGCTTGGGTTGACCCCAAGAAAACAGGAAGAACATTTGAGTCCTGAGGTCCCCAAAGCAGACTGCTCTTACTCTAACCATCTGCCAGTTCCCAAAGGTGTGGCACTCTTTGCAAGGGTTTCAGGGCCACTGAATGAGTGGTCTTGGAGGAGTGTGCGTACACTCTCCCAGCTAAGCCTGGGCAGTGAGTTGAATTTTGGGGCTACGATCTAGAGCTCCTTGTTCTGCCCCATGATTTTGTGTCTGCCACGCTGTTTAAAGTGAGCCAGATCCAGTGATAACGTCCCCCATCTAAGCCTGGCCTGGTAGCCCTTCCTCTGGCACCATTTCTGTCAGTGCAGCCTCATCTTCCCCTAGGTCCCAGGGACTCCCTGGTGATGCCAGGCTCCGGTGAAATGAACAAACGCCTCCATCACTTCCTTAGGGCCCCTGCTTAGGTGGTCAAGTATATGCCCAAGCCACTGCTGGGCATAGGTCCAGCATCCTCTGGCAGACAGAACCATAAGGAAATCATGGAAGAAGGGTAGGCTCAGCAAGGGAAGCTGGGGAGAGCGGATAAGTATCCAATGAGAGGGTGCAGTGATCCTGGTTTGGATGGAAGACAGACCTGTTTTCCAAGGCCCAATAGGGATCATGATGATCTTTGAGCGTAGTGTGTATGTTGCTTGTCGATTGTGTAGGTAGTTCTCTGTGATGACTTCCAGGGACCTCTGACATGTCAGTCAGGTCAAACTCGACAGTTTTCCTCTTAATGTGACACAATTCCAGGTGCTCCACTGAGGCCCTAGCAAACTCTGGGAGCGAGTCAAAGCTCTTCTTGGTCCCAGGAGTCAGAGACTGCAGGCTTTGGTCTTTGACAGTGCTGTCTATGCCTGAGACTCTGTGAAGACTTGAGGTTGCTGATTGTCCTGGTGGGAATACCATAGGGATGGAGCTGAGAGGTGTCTGTGGGGCACTGTGGTAGCCTGACCTCCCGTCCAGTGCAGCGGACTTAAAGGCATCCTCCCTCTTCATCTTGCAGGCCTTGCTGTCTTCCTGGTCCCTAGAGCTCTTTCTGGCCCCCCTGAGGTTCTCGGGCTGGCCCTCATGGAGAAGGACTTCTTTCTTGGGCAATAGTAGTTTGGTCTTTGAGCTTGTCCTGGGGGTCTGGTGGTCGTGGGACTGCAGCCCCAGAAAGCAGCTGATGATGCCACTGTGAGCACCTTCCTCCTCCTCCTCCTCCTCCTGATGTGGCTGGAACTTCATCTCTTCCTTATGCAGACTGGAAAGAAGCAGGAAACTGCAGGTTGAGTAGAGGGAACAAAGGACTGAACCAGACCTTATTTCTCCTCTCTTCTCTCCCTCTGGCCCAAGGTCAAGGACACACACATCCTCACAATGCCCCTACCACCTCTCTCCTGATCCATCCTGTACCTCTTCATTAATCCCTCCTGGTCTCGCTCACCAAACTGTTGTTCTGTGGCTCCCTCTTGCCTTTGTTAACACTCAAATTCCCTAGCCTGGCATTTAAGGGCTTCCTCTTCATCACCCATGTCTTCCCTTTCACCTGCCTCACTCCAGGCCATCTGAATTACTGGTCCTCAGGGAAGGGTGGTTAGATGAAGCCCAGGAGGGAGTCTGGGCAAGCCAGGGATTTGTGGCTCCAACTGGGGAGCAGATCCCCAAAAAGAGAAGTCTGGCTTCCTAGGAGCCCAAGGCCTTTGCTCTGCAAGAGAAAGCCTGCCTACCCTGGAGTGGGCCTGCCCTTGCCCTTGCCCAAATTCTCCCCATGCTTCAAGGCCCAGCTGCAGGCCTAGCTAGAGGCTACCTCCCAGGTGGTCAATGGTGACCCCTCTTCTATGTTCTGTCCTTTTCCCAGGCATCCAGTACCTGTAGTGTATGTCCAGAGTTGGGGCTCCCTCACTAAATTGTGTGTTCCTTGGAAGCATGGCCTATCCATGAGTAGTTTCTGTTAATTCCCCTCCATCTCCCCAACCTTCAGGTGATGGAGTTCAGACCATGTAGAACTCAAAGGCAACCTCCAGAAATGCTTCTGACCTGAGCAAGACTTCATTTGATCACTTTTCCAAACCTTGTTCACGCAAACTACGGAACTCTAAGTACAGCTTAATAGGGTATTTGGTTCTTCAAAGAACAAGAAGAGAACAGAGCTCAATACTGTGGAAGAAAACTGTGATGGTATGGACCCCAACATGCACCCAAGTCTTTTCCACTCTCATCCTAGAAAGAGAGTGCTCTCTGGGGCGGCTCTTCAGCCCACTGTGGCCCTGCGGGACAAAGCCTACCCAGAAGGTACCTGTGATGACCCAGCCTCCTGCTGAGCATGCCTGCCACCCCTCCCCCCTTTTCATGGCCATGCCATCCCACCACTGCCGTTCCACTACCCTGGTTTATCAGAAAACAGTTCTGGACCGGAGTCAGGCACCAGGCTTTGACATCCCTACTGATCACTGATCACTGACTGCCCTTGAGTAAGTCCCTTCTCTCTCTGGGCCTCTGTTTCCACCTCTGGACACAGGGGGCTTAGACTGAAGGTCCCAGGGGCACTGAAGCGGTACAAGGTAGGAGTGAAAGGCATGGCGGTGAACCAGACATACCTGGCCCACATGTGCTAGCTATGTGATGGTGGGCTGGGCAACTTACTTAACCTCTCTGAACTTGGGATTAATCACCTGAAAACTTGAGATGACAAACCAAGGTCATTGGGAAGGAAAAAAAAAAAGTTAATATCTATAAAGAGCTTAGTATAGTGCCCTGGACTTAGTAAGCACTCAGTTCCTAGGCTATTCTAAGTTCCTAGGCAGACCCTTGCACTTGGGGTTTTCTCCCCAACCACATGGTTCCCTGGCACTGCCCACCTGATGTTGAAGGTGGAGCCAAAAAAGGAGGGTCGGCGAGACTGGACAGAAGCAGCAGTGTAGGGGGGTTGTGGTTCTGGGTCATTCCAGTACATGTCCTGCTCCACTGGGGGCAGGTCCTGGTGCATCTCGTCCACAGCCAACAGGGACACCTGGGTGCCCAGGACAGAAGCAGAATTCCCACAGAAAGATTAGCCCAAGCAGGACCATGAACGTGCCGGGTGACCTTGGGAGGCCACTTCTGTGTTTCTGGGCCTCAGTTTCCCTACTTGCAAAAGGGAGAGACTGACGTCTACCTGAAGCCTCAAAAGTTGGGGTAAGAATCCTGTGAGTGAATGGTTGACGGGGGTGGGACAGGAGGCAATACACTGCCAGGCCTCTACAGCACTGCAGGGTCCCGTTTGGGTATCTCCCTCCCTAGGTCCTGTCTGGGGAGGGTCCATGGGATAGGCTCCCTCCCACCCCCATACCTGCAAGCTCCTGTCGACAATCCAGTTGGTCTCAAAGTCATCATCATCTTCTCCAAACGGGTTGATGAGCTGCTCTGCCACCTTAGGGGTAGGTAACATTCTGGAAACCCTCAGGGAGAACTCCTTGCAGCCTTGCTTCCCACCTTTAAACCTCAGCTCCTGACACTTCTGTCTCCTAACCCTCTCCCAGAATGCCCCTCCTGCCTGACCGTTGTCTCGAAAGCCACCACCTAAGGGCTCCAGCCACTCACACACATGAGCACCCATACACGTTGCCTTTCCCTTCAGGACACTGGGCCTCTCTGACTCCTCCGAGCCAGTCCCCTCCCCCCGCCCCAAAAAACCCAGAGCTGAGCTCAGCCCAGCCACCACCTTGGTCTCCCCTCACTGCATCTTACGTGGAGTGGCATAATTCTGTGCATTCGTTCAGTTACTCACGCCTGTTTTCAAACATTGATTTATTCATTATTCTCTAACACAACAGGCTTAATGCTGAGGCTGTGCTGAATGAAAGGGTAGGCCAGGTGGGCAGATTCCCGGGCACTGGCCTCTGAAGTCTCCTGACTAAGCCCTGCCGTGCTGGTAAGTGCAGCGCACTAAGGTTCAGGGGACACCCTGCAAGCCACCGGGGCACCACCAGAGAATTTCAAGCAGCAAAACGGGGTGGTCTGGTGTGGTCTGTAGGTAACTGGGGGAGGGGGAGAGGGAACAGCTGTGGGAGTGTGAAACATGGACAGAAGCGAGAGTGCGGGAGACAGCAGCACCACCAAAACATAAAGGAAGAGCAGCAGAGCGGGTGGCAAATGGATGGATGGATAGAGGCACAGAACACTTATTCAGAATTCCTGTTAGAAAGAGCACTGGATGTGATGGGCAGGAATCCTGGGATAAGCCACTGGGGTGAGGACAAAGACCCCCAGGCCCCCACCAAGGACAACTTGAATAAAGAGAGGTGGTATTTATCTGTCTTCTAAAGGGTAGGGACCCCTGGTAGTTAACCTCAGGGCTTTTGTTTTACTAAGCAGAGGGAACAAATTTGGGACCTCATGGTTGGGGACAGTGAGAAGTTGTCTCACCAGCATGACCAGCCGCTGCCACTCTTATTCCATGCATTCCCCTTGCTCTGGACAAACAAGTGGACGTCATGCCCTTGAGGAGGCATCAAAAGGTCTGACAGCTGAGCTTTCCCTACTACGTCTCTCATGCTTGCGGTGTTCCAGGCCCCGGGTGAACAGTTGCCATCAGACAAAGGCCTCCCGCAGGTCCCACTCCCTTTTGAGTCTCAGTTTCTTTCTCCGTAAAAAGGTGGAGAGACTAGAGAGCCAAGGTTAGGAACCAGTGCGCTACTGTCCTCTCCTGGCTGGCCACGCCCCCGGCCACGCCCACAGCCCAGCCTTGTCTTGGGAGGCTCACCTTTAGCCAGCCAGCATAGAAGAAGAACTGCAGGAATGTGAAGACAGGCACAACGAGGTCCAGCTCATGGCCAGGGTAGGCCTTCGCTGGGTTCAGAAACTGCCGCCCAATCAGGCAAGCCAGGAAAAAGCTGTACACCGCCACGGTCACCACCTGGGCAGGAAAGGAGGCAGTGGGAACGGGCTGGGTGGGGACCTGGGGCTCGGAAGCTCCCGAGGCTTGGAGGACAAGGCCTTGCTCTGACTCACATTCATGTGATTTTGAGTCTCTGTGATCTCCTTAAAATGGGATAATCAAACAGCCTCCCCAGGCTGGACCTGGCAGGAGCCTGGACTCTTCAAACTGGGTGCTAGAGAGGACCTGCGGAGTCCAGACCCAACTCCCAGGGTGAGCCTCTTTCTCAGCCTCTGAGTGGGTCCTTCTCATCACAGGCTGCTTCCTGGGAGCCACCCCCCCCCGGGCCCCGCTTCGGTTTCCCAAAGGGGCAGCTTCACCAGCCTTGCCCTCACCTGCGTGTACACCAGCGGGACACTGATCCAGTCGTAGGCATACAGTTGTCCACACTGCGTGCGCAAAGTGTTCATCTCCTAGGGGGCAGGAGGGAGGGTTGGGGCTCTGACCAGCACCTGCTCTCAGGGGCTCTTCCCCAGGTACCAGGTTCTGGTGCTCATGGCCCAGCCCGAGATGTGTGGTCTTAGGCAGCTCACTTAACCACTCTGTGCCTCAGCCTCTGCATCTATCAAAAAGGAGCAGGGTCTCAGAGGCTCACTTTCCGGAGGGGATGGGAGGGGACTGTGGGAGGGGCCCCACTGCCTTGTAGAATAACGACAGAAAAGGCCCTACAGTCCGAAGGCAGCCTCCGGGAAGACCTTCAGGGACTCAAGCCTTCTCTTTGTGGGAAGCCTTGTTCCACCTGGAGGCACAACCCCCACCCCCACCCCCGCCACCCCCCAGCTCTGCAGCAGCCCTCTCTGTGCAGTGCGCTCACTGTCAGCAGGCTCTGGAGAAGGACAGGGTCCCGGATTCGACCTCCGATCCAAGCTTTCATCGACAGGTTGGCAAACCATACCCAGGGCACCCAGAACGTGTTGTGCGGCAAGCTCAGCTTTTCTAAATGCTTGTGTTCCGCAGGGGTCATGAAGCCTGCGGGGTAGACAGAAGAAGCAGTGGGTGGGGGGACCCGCAGAAGGGGTGGCTCGCCAGGGGGCCAACATCTGCAGGGGCCCAGAATTCAGGCCCAAGTCCCTGCTGAGCCCATAGGGACTTCGGGAGCTCCTTTGCCATTCTCCTTCTTTCAAACAATAATTACTGAGTGCCTACTATGTACTGTTCTGGGCTGAGAATGTGAGCCGGGGCCGGGGGTTTGGGGGTGGGGGGCGCGGTCTATTTTATTAACCAGCACCTGGTCAGGGAAGGCCAGAGACTGAGGTCACAGGTGTTCAGGCCTGGGAACACAGAGAACAGGAGAACAGGATGGGGGATGGCAGAGAGAGGTAGATCCTGGTTCCTCACCACTTCCAAAGGCCCTCCACCCCGGTCCACGATCCCCTGCTCTTCCCTTATCCCTCAAGGTCCTTAGGCCTACCTCAAACCCCTACCCTCCCAGGGTAGTTTCCTGACCTGGCCCCGCCTTCAGACACCTAACTCGACCCCCCCACCGACCCCCAGGTCTCGACCCCACCCCGCTCCTGGTTCCCACCCAATCCCCAGCCCAGGGGCATCCGGTTCCACCCATCCCCCAGCTCCGGCCCCGCCCACCTGCTTTCACTAGGTGCTGGGAACTGGGGAAGCGCTTGTAGACCGCCGCGCTGACGCTGCGCAGGATGAGCACGCTGCCCAGGTTGGCGTAGCGCATGAGCGTGCGCCGCAGCAGGCGGCCTTGCTCATCCTTGCCCTCCACACAGCCCGACACTAGGTTCATGAGACGGTCGGGCCACGGCAGGTTCTCGTACTGGTTCCACCAGCGGGTCACGACCAGCGTCACGTAGAAGCCTGGGCAGAAAGGGCGGGGGGCGAGGGGCGAGGGCCCAGGCTGCGGGCAGAGCCTGGCGAGGGCGACGCCTCTGTTTCTCCTTCTTTCTAACGATAGCCGGACCAGCCCCGTCCCTTCTGGAAGGCGCTCGGGAGGGGAAGGCCATCAGAGCCCGTCATGGAGGCGAAGAGCCTCGAGTTGCCTCTCCCGCACCCCGCCCCCGTCCATCCCAGAAATCTGTCAAACCCCCTCCGCGCCCCCCACACACACCACCACCAGCACCACTTCCCGCCTGCGCGGAGGCTCCAGGGACCATGATGTCAGCGCTGCCCTCAGAAACTGAGGTCTTGAGTGCTCACAGCAGGAGTCCTTCCTAATGTCTAACGTCAGCCCCTCTGGTTGCAGTCTCCCCGTTTCCCTGAACTCCAGAGAGGCATTGACATGACACTGCCCTCCACGTCCGACTACCCCCCAACCCCCGCGCTAGCTCCTCGTCGTCCTAGCAGCCACGGGGACCCGGACACCCCGAAGAGGGAGCTCACCCAGCACGAAGGAAATGGGGATAAGCTGGATGTAGCTGTCGCAATACAGAGTCAGCTTCTCAAACATCACCTGCTGTTCCTCCGTGAGGGCCATCCTGGGGAAGGGGTCGGGGAGGAGATGGCCAAGACCGCCCCGGGTGCAGCGAGGCCCGGGGCAGAAGCGTGGCTGCCTCTCTACCGCCCCACAGCCTCCCAGTCCCTTTTACTGGCCCTTCCAGCTCGGATTGCCTGAGCCGAGCCCCACTCCTTGTCTGGTAGCCCTGGACTGCAGCGGAGCTCCGTGGCTCAAGGAGGTGCCCCAGGAGATTTTCCGTGAGGCATAGAAGGGAGGTCCGGTCAGCTTTAGGTATCCCCTCCGCCGCGGGCCCTGCCAGTCCTGCCATTTTCTGGGGCTTCTTTTAAAGGATCCAAAGGACAGTTGCTGTTCTTTTTAAGGAGGTTGAAACAAAGGGTGTTTGGTCTTTAAAGAAACGCACGATAGGGAGGATCGAGTAAGCAAGCACAGAGGATTTTTAGTGCAGTGAAACCATTATTTACAACACTGTAAGGGATGGTGGATACAAGTCATACATGTGTCCACACCCATAGACTGTACCATGCCAAGGGCGAGCCCTCACGTAAACTGTCAAGTGGACTTTCGGTGATAATGGTGTGTCCATGTGGACTCATCTATTGTAACAATGTATCATTAAATCTGGGGCAGGATGTTGATAATGGGGAGGCTCTGTGAATGGCGGCGGGGGGCGCGGGGCGGGGGGCGGATGGCCAGGACACCTCGCTGTGAATGCTGCTGTGAACCTAAAGCAGCTCTAAAAAAAAGTCTAATAAAAAAAGTATACTAGTGCCCTAGTAACAATCAAAGCAAAACAATGTGCTTTGTGATTAGTATTATCACTATGAACTCGAGACTTCATGTATTTGATATTTTCAATCAATTCAGTCGTTAGTGCTTTTTCTATTTAAAACGCTATCATATATTTCTTATATATTCGGTGATTATATCTGTCCTATTTTTTAAAAAAGATTTTATTTATTTATTTTCAGAGAGGGGAAGGGAGGGAGAAAGAGGAAAAGAAACATTAATGTGTGGTTGCCTCTCACACGCCCCCAACCGGGGACCTGGCCTGCAACCCAGACATGTGCCCTGACTGCGGATGGAACTGGCAACACCTTGGTTCACAGGCCAGCGCCCAATCCACTGAGCCACACCAGCCAGGGCTATATCTGTCCTACGTTTTATTGTTTAAATAAACACTTTTACTGAAGAGAAAAAAAAAAGTACTGTCTGGACCTGTGAGCCTGTGTGGAATCCAGGAAAACAGGCTGGCTGAGTGGGACTGGGTACGACCTGGCTTCCAGGACCCGCCCTGTGTTGGAGGCATGGGTGTCTGAGGTGCTTCCTCCCATTCTGCCTCCTTTTCTCTCCTCCACAGCTCCCCAGGCCTGGGCCACAAGCTCAGCTAAGCCTTAAAGGTCTCTGGTGCATGGGTCCCCTGGATGGCTTGGAGGTCCCCCAGGAGCACCAAGCCCCAGCTGCAGTCCTCCTAGGACCCACCTCGGCCCCTCGGCCCATACCTATAAATACAGCGGATGGTGTAGTAGCTGAGCAGGAAGATGAGGAACTCGCCGTAGAGCAGCTTGTAGATGCTGCCCCGCCAGCACAGCAGCAGGCGGGAGAAGGAGCCTAAGCGGGCGTTAGCCACTTGGCTCGAGTAAGTGACGGTCATGGTCAGGCTATGACTGGGCTGCTGCAGGTGGGCTGGGGCCTGGTGGACAGAGAGGGACACGGACGGAGGCCCGGGAGAGAGCAGGGGCCTTGGTCAGAGCTCATGGGTCTCCTAGGCCAGGATCCTGCCCTGCTCTGGACCTCAGCTCTCCCTTCAGGACACCAAGATGGGGATGACCTCTAAGGCCCTGCCAGCTCTGACCACCCGGGGGAGGTAGGAAGTGAACCCAAAAACTGCCCACAACCTTGGCAGGGAAGCCTTAAAGAGGCCCGTGCCCTTAAATGGCATGACAGGGACAATGACAACGGCACACACACTGGTCCCTGTCCTCTGTAAGCTCTCCAGGCTCCCTCAACCCACCCTGGAGACAGAGTTGGCAAGGGGCGTGGTCAGTCTTGTCTACCCTCCTGTTCCCGTGGCCCAGAGCAGAGCCGGGCTAGCGGAGATGTTCAAATAATGTTTGCGGGAACGAGGCCCTAGGGCCTTTCCACCTGCTGCTCTTCCTGCCTGGGGGGTGCTCTTCCTTATCCAGCTCTGCGGCTCCTTCCCGTGTCAGGTCGCCTCTTCCTAAACAATGTCCCCAACCACCCTACCTGAAAATAGCATCGCAGAGCCACCCACACTTTCTATCTTGTCACCTCGCTCAATCTTTCTATACAGCACTTAATCATGTTATACTTGAAATTATATTTTGCAGACTGTCTGCTTGTTTACAGCCTATTCTGTCCTTAGAATGGCAGCTCCTACTGTGGTCTCAAAGGAGGTGCCCAATAAACATCTACAGAAGCCATGATTGACGCCCACCCTCCCCGACTCGCCCTGATGCAGCCGCGCTGGCTCTCTCTATACCTAGTGCACACCAAACTCATGCCCACCCAGTGCCTTTGCACAGACATATGGGTGCCCACACTCCTGCACACATTACCTGTGTGTATACATCACACACACATATGCTCGGACAGTTATCCACCCCAGCGGCCCTCAAAGCCCCAGCCCAGCCCGCCTAGGCAACCCCTACTCACAGGTGGAGCTCCTGGCTGGTCGGGTGATCCCTCAGAAGGGTCTGGCCACTAAATTGGCACGGCTCTCTGGGGTTCTGCAGCCGGTGTCCGTGCTTACGCTTAGGGGCTAGCACTGCCCATGTGGGTGCTAAGCGGTCACTTGACTCCCTAAACCATCACCTCCACAAAGGAGCCCTTGTGTTTCCTCCTCATAATCTGCTCCTAAGCAGCTGCCAGCACAGTCCACTGGGACCCCTCTAATGCCTTCCAGGCAGGGTGTGGGGCTGAAATTTGCAGCAACCCCGCTCCACCACAGGCCCTGCCAATCCTGCCATTTGCCTGGGGCCCTAAAATCCGGAGATTGAGGGATTCATTTCTGACCCATGAGGTCTTGCAAGGAATGCTGTGGGGAGGAGGGCCAGAGCTGTCTGCAGAGGGGGAGCCTCCGCCCAGGCCCTGTGGGGCTTTGGCGGCACCGTGAGCCACACTCGAAGTCCCGGCTCTGCCCACTGTGGGTGGGCCTCTGCTCCTCTCTGGGCCTCAGTGTCCCTATCTGTAAAAGATGGTGTTTCTTTAGAATTCCATCACCTCAGTAAGAGCGTCAGAATTCTGCCTATACTGGTGAGGAGCTCTGATTGGCTGCTGGTGACATCAGCTATTCGGGCTGTGACTGGTCCCCGCAGGACAGAGTTAGTAGGCTGGTTCTGAGCTGAGGAAGGAGGAGGGGGGCAGGGGGCTGCTGTGTGTGGGCCGGCCTGGTGCAGGATGACACAGCAACTCCGGTGTTCCGTGCTACTGGCCCCCAGCCAGCCCCTGAGAAATGGGAATATGTACTCAGGCCCCCAAGGGCAGCTGGTTAATACCTCAGCAGCTGGCTCCGTACACTTCAATGCATCAATCCGTACTTGAGGGCCTGCCTCAGCCACTGGAAGTGATGCATGTCTAGGATGTGTTCCTCTTGAATTGAGGGAGAGCTTAAAACAGTGGCGCCACTTGGTCTTCAGTGGCTGTAAGAACGGCTGGGAATAGTCAGTAAATGTGTGGCTTCCTCAGGATCCTTCTCCAGAGTGTGATTCTGTGACACAGAGGACGCTGTATTTCTAACGAGCACTGTGGGATGGTGGTGCCAGCAGTCTTCCCACCACACGTTCAGAAGCCCTGACGTGCAATCTGATCTCGAGCCCTAAAATAAATTCACCACCCCCTTCCTCTCGCTCTTTCTGACATACTCCTAAGGGTAACAACACGGAGACTGCAGGTGATTTTAGTGCACGCCATTTTCGCCTCTATAATGTAATGCCTAGGGGGAAAAAATTATAATTCTTTCACAATGACCTTTTTTTTTGTTTTGTTTTGTTTTTCTATTCAGGACGAATATACGAGTGTATGAAGCAATCTCTTCAGAGATCAGGGAAAGCCCTGGAGGAGTATTTGTTGCATCTCTGCCTCCCGCTGTAGTTAGTGGTAACTGGGCTCTTCCCTGTGATCACAAGGAAAGCCTTCCAAGGACCCACGCATGAAAGATTGTGGGTTGGCAAGGTGGTTTATGCTTGTGGAGACAGAAGCTGTCCCTGGGTTTCCAATGTCCCATCTCCCTCCGTCCTGCCATTGAAAAAGTCCAGCCATGTCCTCGGCCAGGCCAAGACCAAAGCCAGCATCCAGGGCTTCTGCTTCATATTAGAGCTCAGTCCAGCCCAGCACCCAGCCAGCTCAGTATGTGTTTCCAGCTGTAGTCCATTGCAGGTGCCCCTCTGGAACCTGCATGTGAAGTTGCGCAGCCAGGCACCACGTGGCTGCTGGTGCCACGTGCAGAGAAAAGGCGTGTCCAGCATGTAAGTGCAAGTCACAAGCAAGAGAGAGCTCAGTCTTTTTGGAGCCCACGCCACCTGCTGCAGCCCGGTAGCTGCGGGGCCCACATGATCTGCTGCTCCCAGGGGAGAGAATGCGTAATGGAACAGGGAGGGTGCATGACCGGGTGTGTGTGGTGGTGGGGAGGGAGAAAGAGGGAAACAGCGAGCTTTTTTTGTTCTCCTGAGGGTATGACCAAGAGCTTGGGTTTGGGATGGACCAGGTGCTTTCTCAGAAGAACCAATCGACTTCCCCAGGCTTTGGGAGCTTTGGTAGGTCCACCCCCTAGTTAGACTGACAGACCTCTATGGTCCAGCACCTCTCTCAGTGACCGCCCCCTCCCCCCAACAACTATCTGGTACCAGAGATGGGGAGGGAGGAGTGTTAATCCCCGTGGCAGAAAACGGAGAAACGCTGTGATCCCCTGCAGCGTGAAGCTTCAGCTTCCTGGCTGAGCGAGCAAACAGGCTTAATCTCCCCAGTTTATGAAACTCAATGTCTAGCTCCCTTGGCTCTCTTCCCTTTTTCGTTATGTAAACACCGATGGTAACGCTGTGATGTGGGAAACACCCTTCCCATCACTCTCCCTAACTGAGCCAGGGAAAGGGGTGATTCACTTAAACCTCAGTCCCCTCATCTGCAAAAATGGGACAATAACACCCACCTCAGCAGCTGGACAAGAAATGTTTTAGTCAACTCTCCAAAGCAGTGATTCTCGCGCCTGGCCGCCTGTTAACTTTTCCTGGCCTCCCTGCAAACCCAGGGCGCCTCTGCCCCACCCCTGCAGATTCCTTTAGTCTCCATGGCATCCAGGTGCTGATGTCTTTTTCCAGTTCCCCAGGCAAATCGAACAGACAATCTGGGCTGAGAACCACGGCTGTAAAGGAATATTTCCCTACCTTGTATTCCCTCTTCCCCCACCAACACATACCACTCACGGGAGAGCTTCCCATTTAGCAGATGATTAATAAATATATATTCTAATTAAAACTGAAACATGCGCCCGGCACCGAAATGTTCACTCTCTTTGGTTGAAGGAATAAATGAAACACCAGCTTCTGCAGGGTCTCGGGGTTTTGCCTCCCCGGTGGTGTCCACTGGAGGGAGCCCTTGACTAGCTGGCTCTGGCTGGCACCAGGAGCTCGGCCTGCTGGTTTGAATCTGTGTGGACCCTGGAGCTGGCTCTGGACGGCTTCTTCCTCTCTTTGACCCTGAACACAAGCTTTAGAGCCATGAAAGGGAGTTGGGAGACAATGGAGTCTTCCCGCTCTGTCTCCTGAATTGTGGGTTTCTTCACAATATCCTCGCAGTCTCACTAGGACCAGCTGACAGAGCTACCCCAGGCTCCCTCCCCTCCCAGAGACCCCAAGGTATCCCCGGAAATACCCTGAGCAGCTCGGTGCTCCTGGCACCACACCAGCACTGAGAGAGGCACAAGCCATGGCGGCTCCCACTGGGTCTCAGCCACGAAAATGTACCTGGCCAGCCCGGGACAGCATGGGCACACAGAAAAGCCATGACAAACACTGACTGACCCAAGTCACGCTTGGACAAAGGGCCCCAGGATGGACTCCTGCCAGGATGGGGTCCGACACAGCCAGAGTCGGCCTCTTCTGCCTTCCATTCGCAAAGTGGTCGTTCAGCCAACCATTTCTATGCCCAAACTGGGACTGTACTAATGTCCACCTCCGAGAAGTCAGTCAATTTATCTAAAGAAATCCAAAAAGGTGTGTGCCTTCCTATGTTCATTGCAGCATTATTTACGACAGCCAAGATATGGAAGTAACGTAAGTGTCCATTGATAGATGAATCGATAAAGAAGATGTGATACACATGTACAAGGGAATATTACGTGGCCACAGAAAAGAATGAAATCTTTGTGACAACATGGATGGACCTAGAGGGTATTATGCTAAATGAAATGTCAGAAGGAGAGAGACAAATACTATATGATTTCATTTATATGTGGAATAAAAAAACAAAATAAATCAACAAACAAAACAGAAACAAAGTCATAGATACAGAGGACAAATTGATGGGTGCCAGAAGGCAGGGGGTTGGAGGGGAGTGAAAAAGGCAAAAGGATTAAGATGTACAAATTGGCAGTTACAGTATAGACACAGGGATGTAAAGTACAGCATGTGGAATATG